GTGTAGACGACACTACTATATGCTACTAAAATGCTCCAACAAACTAAATAAACACATTTAAATATGGTTCACTTTTTAGAGTAAATTGCTACAACTGCTTGGCGCTCAACCAACTCACCAGAAGAGTTTTTCTCTCTACAGATCTTCAAAGAGTCTTCAGTAAAATCAGTTATATGCCCTTTCTTTATACAATTTCTCTTAGTCACCATACCATCATGATACCACACTTCCTTTCCAGGGCTAATTATACGTGATGTGAAGTGAAATCCACCAGAATAAATTACGCCCCTCAGTGTAAGGACTGTGAATTTACCATTGGAGCCTTTAATACGAATGGTTTTGCTAATTGAGACACTACTTGTATTCAAACTGAATACAAGAAGTGAAGGGGGTTGGTCATACATTCGGGAAGTTGCCATCGGTGCACCACAATCACATATGCTTGGTTCCCTCAGCCATTGTTGCAACCATTCATTGATTGACTTGTAAGTTCCATCAAGTATTGACATCACTCTTTCAGGTGGATTATCCAAGTCTTGAAAAAAACCACATGTATCACATGATATTCTACGGTAGCCCAAGCTAATATTGTGATGTGAAGTAAAAATATATGAGATTAAATCACGGATATCAGTCCCCATTTGTCCACTTGGAAATAAATCTGAATTTTCTTGTTTAAGTGATGAACGCACATCATTTCGAACATTTTCCAAAGTCTCCAGACCTCTGATAACTTTTTTGTATCCTTCTGATAATATTTTTCCTTGATTCCCAAATGAAGAAAATGTTTTTGTCCAGCTTTTTGGATTGTAAATCCAAATCTCACACAAAATTGTAAATAGAGAATCATATGAGCAACTGTAATTTACCGAATCCCAAAGAATCCCAACTGGAATGTCAGGTGTAGGTCCAAAGCTGGCTCTAATTTTCTTTGACTTTGGTCCATCAGTATTTAGATCCTCTTCTGCCTTTCTTTTGAGTGTAGATGCAATTGCCTTTGATCCCTGTGCAGGAACAAAATAACCTGAGACATTTTTACTTTTCTTTTGTGATTGGATCTCAACCTCTTCAGTTGCATTAGTGGTTGATTTTGTGGTGAGTGTCCATGAACTATCAGTGATCACCTGAAAAGTTTGCATTGGATACATTTCACTCCATCTAATTGGCCCCATCACATTTTGTGGACAATACCCCTTCCCTTTGAGCTGTTGATACTGACGTAAGAGAGCATTACGCAGTTGGCCATTGATTGATGGAGGTAATTGGCCATTGTATTTAAGGTTGGTAATGTCATCAAGAAGCTCAAGTTCTCTAAACTCTTGTCGAAGATAACCAGATGCACCACAGGTAATCTTTGATGGATCAAATCCTTGTACAATTACAGTTCCTTCACATGTTGCACTTCTAGAAAGAGCAGTATAGTAAGATAGGTGGTTACGACAGCTATTTAAATCCACTACATTGAATGGACGAGTCTTTCCTTGTGATGCATAGTCTGTCATTGCAAAGTTAGGTAGCACAGACACCTGAGAACGGGATATAGCGAGAGTAACATCACTTGGACAGATACATTCAATAGACATGCTGTTCTTTACTAGTGGAACTACATTTTCAGGCAATCCCTCAATCTTGATTGTCTTGGCAGGACGATCAAGCTTTACAAACAAAGTTTCAAGGATTCGTTGTCCACTTAGGCCCAACTTTGCATCCCATCCAACGACATGACCTTCTTGACCTTTTGTTATACATAATTCTGTTGCATCATTATTTCGTATTATAACTGGCATACCAATACG